TCCTTCACACGGACGAAGGAGGGAGTGCTCAAAGAGCGGCTCCCACAGCAAGGAGGGGCCCCGTGAATCATCGCGGTGTCCCCTATCAAACGGTTATCTTACCAGTCTGCGTGACACAAAATCATCCAGCACATGTATCCAACAGCAATGTTCGCAGACTCACGAACAGTCCGTAGCTCCCCGATCACCAGATACCAGCCCCCAGGGGCCCCGTGTATCACACCGAGGGTCAGCACAAGCCAATAGTACTCTTGTCAATCCGGTTTTCTCTTCAAAGACCTCTCTTAAACCGTAGCCGCAATGCACTGTACCCCAAACACAATCAGGTTTCGTCGATCAGCACAGAACACGAAAGCTCCGCCACTCCCGAATAATCAAATGACACATTACCAACGCCCTGAGGCCCCGTGTATCATACATACCTCCGGGTGTACCCCAAAAACCAATCAGGTGTCCGCCGTGAGCACTGACCACAAGGGCTTGGAAGGGATCAGCGTGGGCGACGTCTACTGCGAGGCATTCGTGAAACGGCTGCCCGATATCGTGGACGCCATGGGCGAGAACGGCGAGTTCCACACGCATGTTTACCACAACCGGGGGGAAGGGGACGGCGCGACCTGGAAAACGGAGGAGGAAGAAGAAGAAGAAGAAGAAGAAGAAGAAGAGGAGGCTTCTAGCGAATCGGAGTCTGAGGGCTAGGCCTTTGGGCCTGTGATTGATCTAGGAAGAAGAATAGTGTTCTAGCGAATCGGAGCCCTGAGGGCGAGGGATAGGCCTACCGTACATGACACAAGGTAACACACCCCCTGGACCGATTTTCAAGCTCGACTACCGTATATGGCACAAGATAACACACCCCCTGGACCGATTTTCAAGCTCGACTGCCGTATATGACACAAGATACCACACCCCTTGGACCGATTTTCAAAGCTCGATTACGCCACGACCAAGAAGACGCGTCAATGAAGCAATACATTTTCGGAAAGCTCATGAGGAGACAGCTTCAACGCCACCGTTTTCGGCGCCGTGACTCTTTCTGTTGTCGAGAAATCGAGACTAGAACATCGGTCCACGGTGTGTGTTATCTTACGTCATTTTACGGAAAGATTGGCCGAGAAAAGTATTTTTTGGCGAATGTGAGTCTGGGGGGAAGGGTTAGGCCGTTAGGCCTATATGGCGGATCTTATACCGAGGAAGAAGCAAGAGCCGTCAAGCGAATCGGAGTGTGGGGGCGGGGGTCAGGCCGTCAAGGCCTCTATGGCGCATCGTTGCCCCCCCCCCGTGAAAAGGGTATGGTATTGATGTTGCTTGAGATATTGGCTACGCGGGTGGTACCGGTACACGTTTCGTCTTGTTGCTAGTACACGTTTCGTCTGGTCATTGTCTCCTACATGTTTCGTCTGGTCATTGTCTCCTATCTGTTTCGTCTGATCATTGTCTCCCACATGTTTCGTCTGGTCATTGTCTCCTATCTGTTTCGTCTGGTCGTAATTCCCTCTCTTTTCGTTCCATCGGAGTGTCTCCGGGGAAGAATTGGTCCATCGTTCTTGAACCCATTTTTTTGTTTGTTTCGTTTTTTTTTCGGTTTTCGTTTGTTTCGGGACCGGGTGTGTGTGCCCTTCGTTTGCCCTGCCGTGTGTTGTGTGATCTTACAGGTTGCTATGTAACGCTTCTTTGTGACAATGGACGCTCGCCTGCATCTTGTTAGGAAAGCCACGCTGCTAGCTAGTGATCCGTTGGAGGCAAGCCGCTTTGTCACGCAGCACACCACAGGAATTTGTCCCGTTTGTCTGGTCCTGAAGCAACATGTTCGTGTTCTGGCAGCCCGGGTGATGACCTCTGGGCTTCTAAATCGAGGTGTTATTTATTTGCGGCATCTGAATATCATGCCGGCCTGTTTACGACGTGTTGAGCTCATGTTGACCGGTAATTACATTGACACCGGGTATGGTGTTAATTGCATGAAGGGGACAATCCACATACACCAAATTATGTGGTGGGAAACTACACAGGCGAGCGACATCAATAAATATTGGCTTGATTATAACATGACGTGCCGCTGGGTCCGTTGAAGGAAGTTGTTGTTGTTGTTGTTGTTTCTCACATTAGCTCATAAAAAGAAAGATTGGGAGCCCGTGGTCTCAAAACCCGGCATACACGACCCCACGAAGAAACAGAAAAAAATAGGGTACAAAAACCACTCGGAAGAGAAACAAAATGATAGAAAGAAAGACCAGCTACCGCACCAAACGAGAAAGAGCGTCGAGGAGACCGATCAAAATAAAATGAAAGGAGAACGGGGAACGCTTCCCACACCCGCGTACAACGCCGGAGGAGTGTAGTAGTGTGGTGTGGATACCTTGTTCTTTTTTTTTGTGTCGTAAAACATTCGATGCATTACAAAGACACATGCATGTGAAGCAAGGCCAAAACTAGAACGAACATATATATGCTGTTGGTGCCACCGTTGGTGCCGCTGTTGGTCGATGGTGGTTGGGGGTATGGGTATCGCCTCACAAAATATTGTGTGCGACCGGGTCTCGAGGACAGCGATTGGTTTCGGAGCATCAACGTCTTTGGTTTCATTCAGACCACAACACTGACTGGTGGCTTGTTGTGCGCGTGGTTGTCTCGACTCGTCATTTCATCTCGTGCGACGCTCGGGGATACCAGTATACTATTAATAGTAATATATATGGATTCATTGCTAATCTATCTTAGACTTATTTCTATAGATAGAAGTGGATTTGTTGTGTGATAGAGATGGATTTGTTGTGTGATACTAAGAAGAAAATAAATATATAATTGGTGTGTCTCTCTCTACGTGGGCAGTCTATTTTTATAGATAGGTGTCTCGTACTAAATACAACGTGGTAAATACGTGGTACCCGAGGTTAGGTCAGAGTTAACGGTCTTAGTCGTTTTTTTCTCGCCTGTTTGGGTCTATTTTTTTAATCTAGATTTTTTCCGCTTAACGTGACATTCGTGTTCTTCACGCCTCGGCTTCGCTTTGTCATTTTGTCTCCAAAATTAAAAATGCGTTCCGGTCTGCCAAACGGGTTGTTTCGTTTTTTTCGTAATTTGCCGTGTTCCGTTTATTTTTGGGTTTGGCCTGCTCTGCCCCGGCTTTTCGTGCGGACACGGTTATTATCACCACACGGATCGCGCTTGAAGAGAAGTGAAACACCGTTCACTCTCTCTCTTGGGGGCCTAGAAGCTTTTAGCTTGGGGTGACCAAGCGCAGGCCTAGACTCGACTGACGACGGGCGGCGAGAGCTCCCGGCCTTCTTGCCCTTGCTTGAGTGAGTGACCTCCACCCAGAAAGGAAAGTGGCACAATAGGCGGGGGAAAAACTCAACAGAACTTAAAGCCAGAGTTACAGACAACAAGACCGGGGATCGCAACTCGAACACCAGACCAAGTCAAAAGGCGAAACCTTGCGGAGCCAACGGCGTTGGAACCGTCTTGTCGAGAGCTTTTCCAAAATGTATTCCTCCATATATACATCCTCTTCGTCGTGGAGTAATCGAGCCTTGACAATCGGTCCAGGGGGTGTGTTATCTTGTGTCATATACGGGATGTGGCGTCCACGACAGAAATGTTGATGTAGGTGTCGTCGAGCAGCGAATTGATCAAACAGTTGAACAAGAAATTTGTTTTGCTTCTCAAATTTGAGTAGCAGAAAACCCAACTAACGAACAGCGGCATGACGCAAGCACCGGTGCACCAGGATGACGCAATGTCGCCGCACACTAACGCGGGCAACATCATGTACGTCGCGATTTGGGTGCTTACACAAGAAGCGGCGCATCTCACTCGCAGTAGCACAGCTGGCTCCCGCACTTAAGAACCTCTATAATAGTTTCGGCCGAGGCTGGGGTTGTCATTTTGCTCATCATCCTCTTGTGGGCTACAAATGGCCGCTATATAGGTTTTAGTGTGGGGTTCTTGACCGAGATCACAAATGGCGCTCAAGTTCTTAGCTTCTGGTTTTTTGCGAGTTTCAATTTCTGAACTGCTAAGTTCTTAAGTGCGGGCGCTATCTGTGCAGCTCAATTAACACCAGAATCACCTCATCCACGCTGGCTCGCGAGTGATGATGAGACCTATCCCACTGGCATTGCTCAACATACAGCCAGCGAGTTAGTAGAGTGTCGAAAGCCGCGCACGAAAAATATCTACGACATTGGGTCGATTTTTCGTATCCCCTCCCCCCCCCCCCCC